AAACCAGAGTGAAGAACAGCCTGTCAGGGAACAAAACTGTAGGATTTGCATGTGTCGTGTGTGCTGCAAACACAACTTGCCACTAAGATGAGACAGAGAACTCACACAAGGTATCCTTTATTCCTCTGGTATGTGTATGCACAAAAGTTATTAAATAACTTTTGTGTTTTATATGGAAGGTAGTCACAACATTGAGCTTTGTGAGAAGAACACGTATATCAGTCTGATCCTAGCAGATATTTAGTGGGTGAGTGAAAAGAAAAGGGGAAAAAAAAAAAGGCAAGAGGAAAAATGCAAGAAGGTTAGAAGAAAGAAGCCGACACCAATATTAAACAGTTGTAGCTGGCGATACGTGACAATCACTTCCTGAACAGGGCATGAAGCCACGTTCTTTTTTATTATTCTGAACTCAAGGCCTTGTATGCTCTTGGAAATTTACTAAAATAGGTATTCTAAAATAATGATTTCCTAAATGGATCTTCAGCAACAACACGCTGTCATTGTAGATAAACAAGGAACAAATTGGCCCTGCACATTTTGAAGCAGACATTGATATGAAAAAACATGACCAGTACTATGACAGACATTTTTTTACTTCTTTAAATCTGCACTCGCAGCAAAAACTTGTCCAAATTGATAGGAATTGCTGACATAATTTTGATCTCCACAACTCATGGCAGAAACAGGTGAGAGTTTCAGTTGATGAGTCAAATAATTTAAATAATTCTCCTTGTCCATGTCAAGCTTAAGAAATACCAGCCTTGTGCTGCTGCTGCTATATCCTGTACATACTCTACAGAGAGAGGAACAAAGTCTCCAGTGGTCCTAACTTGGCATTATACACTGTTCCTTTGTGTGACTTTATCTTATGCAGGAAGTCAAAATACTTACCCAGGCACATCAAAAGAAAGAAAACAAGCAAAGTATACAACCTCAAAAGAAAGCTCTCAACTTTGGAATTCACTTTCTCTGTAATAGTTCAACAGCACATGCATTGCTGACCTTCAGAGCACACCACAAAACACAGCTGTTTATATAACCTTTGCACAATGAGGAACACGCTTTTCTTAATCCCACCGTGGCAACAAATGCAGTCAATGATATTTTGATCCCCCTTTTTTTTAGGGTTCCCTTACCCTGGAAAAGTTTATGAGTAAATGAGAAAGCTGAATCAAAACTTCATGATGCGAGGAAATCTAAAGCAGAACAGTATGCAAGCAAAACCAGCCACTGTTTTAAAACAAGTTTCTACGTATGTTGGCACATTCTCAATTAGGATAATTTGAAGCCACAAAGTTGCTGTAGGTTTTCTAGTTTCTATTATAGTGTAGCTTAGACTTCATCATGACAAACTCTGATTAAAAGGTTAAAGTTTTAGATAGGGAAAAATCCTTTTTTTATTATTGTGAAGTCAAGGCCTTGTATGCACCCGGAAAATTACTAAAATAAGTATTCTGAAATAACTATGTCAATCAGTTCCTCCTTACAGGAAGGGGGAAGGAAGCCTTGGGAAGAAGCAGTGAGTAATATTAGCCCTCAGACTTCCCAGAACACTTGGGGTTTTGTCATAGGTAAAAGATTACAGAATGGTATTGCAAGATGCAGAACGCAGACACAGAGACATGAAATTGTTTAAAGAGAATTTGATAAACCCTGAAGAAAGTGAACAGGCTAAATTTTGAATTTCTGCCCACAAGCTCAGAAAATCCCTCCCACCCCAATGGGAGAGGAAGGCCAGTTTCAGTCTAGGAACAGTAAATCTCCCTTAGCTCTCAAATAGTCTGTGTGGGAAGGCTCCCAAAGGAGGCACCTCAGGAGAGGGAGCCAACCGTACCATGAAACCTCAGCATAGATGAGTGTCTCTTTTTTTGACTTCAAAGGAGTATTATGAGATTGGCCTCGCTGTGTTTTGTGAATGACTCTGTTTCCTCTTCTCTCTGTCCCCTAAAAGCTTTTCCAAGGATTTCTCTTTGAGGGGCTTTGCATGCTATTAATGACTACAAATGCTTATGTCATGTTGTCTAATACCAGATATTATTCAAAACTACAAATGATTTAGAGCTATCCCGTTTCCTCGACTATACCAATTTATATTGAACGTTCTTGCAAATGCACAAGTGCTTTCATGAGAAAAATGGGTAAAACAGGTTTCCCACGAAGATAAAAAAAAACCCTCTTCCAGTTAACAGAGAATAATTGTCTTATGGCTCATTTCTCTCAATATATGATGCTTAATTCCTATAAAGTCAGAATTAGGTCTGTCAAAGTTATTCTCAGGTAGTATGAGAAGTGTGAAAAATACTCCTGACTGGGAAAACAGACAAGCATCTCTAAAAGAATCAGCATTTTCTGATTCTGTGAAGTGTTCTTCACCAAATACAGCACCTCATATTAAAATTAAGTATATTGCAAAAATAATATAGTTCTTAAAATTACACAAGTATGACTGGACTAACCACTGCCTTTTTTTTTTTTCTCTTTTCCTAAACTAGAGATCAAACACTATTACAGCTGCTCATATTTTACTGGAATAAACAATTTTCCACAGATCTGCAGCCTGAATTTAGCTAATGATTTCCATGAAAATGCCAGTTAAAGGAGTATGCTTCAATTGATTAATACAACAGTGTAATATTAGCTTACATTTTCTCTACAGTGTTGCATGTAAGTATATAAGATTATATTATAGCTTCATTAACAAAATTATATTTTCAATAATTTCGCAATAAATTTGGTCTTGCAGGGCTTTGTCGACAGATTTAATTGAGGGTAACTTTGCATCTTCCGGAGAGCTCTATGTTGGTAGTTTAGACTTTAGTCCTGCACTAATATCCATGTTGGTAGATTCTATCCAGAGGTATAAATCGATTATCCTCACATATGGATCTGATTGCAAGATCAGGACCATAGACATCAGTTGTGTAATGGACACTTCCCTTTCAACTATCAAGTTAAATTAGGTCTAAAGAAAACTAAGCTAATGAAATTATATATGTGTATTTAAGACTGTAATTCAGCAAGATATTTAATTACAATTTAGATTACTTAAGAAGTTTGCTATTTTTTCTCAGAACTCATGCTGCTATTTAATATATAGTTTGTTATTTGAATATTATTCACTATATTCTTCATTCTAATAATTGCATTGATTTTGATACGTAGAAGTTTAAAGTTGTTAGACTGTGCGTCTGTTTTCTTCTTTGAGATACAGTATTATTTACTGAGCTACAAATTTACAAATATTACACAGGATTTGAATATGAGAGGGAGTAGATTTAAGCTGCGAATCCTCTACCGTGTATTGTCAGTGCTTCCCAGAACAGCATTCAATAGTTTTTGCCTTTGAGTTTAAACCGTGTCTATTTGTCACAGCAAGAAGGGATGTTTTAAAGAACGGGAAAAATTAGTGTAATTGACCTCAACAAATTGAATCCTGGAAACCATTACTGAATACTACTTCAAAAACAGCAGAACATCTGTTATGCTACTACTTTTAGCAGTCTTAGGAGTACCAAGTAGCTGACACAACCGTACAACTTGTATCAGTGCAGGAACATCAGTCTGACTATCAAATCTGACCTAAGCTCCTCCCTGTTGGAAAAAATGACATTTAATTTTAAGCAAAATCATCAGAAGGCACAAAAAACCCATGTGTGCAATGGTATATATACAATGTGTTCTAATACAGAACAATTTCAGGGGAAAATGATGGGAATTCTCCAAGGCAATATACCCAGTGGTTTTTATCTGTGAGTCCAGACTCTTCCTGCTGACTGGACACATATTACCTCCAGCTGGATCATAACTTGAAAAAGAGCCACAAGGCTTACCTCAGAGGGATCTGACTCCTGCTGAGAAATTTCAGTGTCCTCTCAAACTGACCGTTTCGATGGTTTCCTCAACTAAGTCAGCTAGAAGGGACCTAACTCATACTAAATTATCAATGGAGATTCCATGTTCAGTAAATGAAAATTTTTTTCTCTCTCTGGGAAGAAAGTTCACAGTAGAAACCAATTAGATTTGGGAGCCAAATCTGTTCACTTTTATGTTAATGTGTAAACAGCACTGGTGGAAAGAGAATTCAGCTTTAGGTTCTCATAATCCTCTTACTTTTCTGCAGTAGTTGGGAAATAAAGGAAACAAAGTGAACTGTAGCAATGAACCACAACAATGAAAATCAGATAACGTCACTCACCAGATAATAAATTGTTCTTGTACAATGTAACAGGCTATGAGTAATGCACGCTACGAATCAAAACAGTGGGAAGAAAGCTCGGAAGAAGTCTGTTTCTATTCAGTCTTGGTAGGCTTAACGTATATATTGCATACTTGGAAATAAAAGATTCCTTGAAGTGATGACATTCATAGCCCTTATTCTTTGATAGACAAAGTAATCTTTCTTGGCATAAGCTTTCTTCTCCATCCATCAAATACCAATCAAATTAAAGGAGCATCCCTGCAGTCTTCTGGAGGTCACTAAGCCCGTCTTCAAATCCTCTCACCTTCACTAATTTTTGGTATTATTTTCTCTTTTAAAGTTAGGACCTGGAAAAGACTCGTCATTTAAAAAATTATTTTACATTTAAAATTCTCTTCGAGTTTCTGTTACACTTTTTTAGGACGTGATGTTGATGAGTTTTCCCAAGGTACGCAAAACGAGTATTTACATCACATCTTCCACAATGAGCAAATACGGATTTTGTAAAACAGTGACAGAAAGCTAAAGGGCGCGGATTATTTTCCATGCGATTTGCTAACCAAACTTAACAAAAAGCCTCTGTTTCCCGAGCAGTGCTCTCCCCAGACAGCCTGCCCACTTGGAGAGCCCTGTCTTTGAACTGTTTGGAGGAGTCAAAAGAAATCTCATTAAGGATGTTTCCCTGCTTTACCTGAGGCCATGTTTGTTTTAGGTAAGTATTCTTTGGGAGTTGAGAGCAAGGAGGGGCTCAAAGGCCCAGGCGAGCGCCCAACCTGCCACAGGCTCAAGACCATCCAGTGCCATGGAGGGTGCAGCTGCAGGTCTCCCGCTCCAGGCCACGGCCGGCTGCATCTGTCATCGCGCCCGGGACGCCCGGCAGCGGCAGCACCCATCCCAGCCAAGGGAGCACCCAGAGAGGTAAGGCAGGTGCAGAGAGACTTTTTTCAGCAGCCTTCCTTTCAAATCTCTGACTGTAAGTGTCATTTCAATGTAATGGTTTTGGCATTAAATAGACAACGGAAAACAACTTCCAACTTTAGATGTAAGGCAAAATACGTTTAATTCAGAACTGGCGTTTTATTTCTTTTGCCAATATTTTATCCTTTTCAGTCAAACATTTCAGAACTTACTTATAAATGGAAGTAAATGAAAATTGTGATAACTGATTTATTATTTTTTAGATTTATTTACTTTGCATATCTGAAAGCACTTTTCCATTTCCCCAGCTGTGTGGATCTGCTACACAGCAGCAGAGATGGAAAGTGCTGTTAAAAAGAGCAGCTGTAGTTGTAGTCCCTGCCACCAAACAAAAGGCAGATGTGGCATCCACCACTGCATATGCTCTCTTAAGCTAAGTAGATCAGATTGCCCATGTCAGTTTAGTGCTGGAGTTGCTTACTCAATAAATAACCAGCCACTCACTGACGACACAGAATCTGTATTTAGACATACTGTCAGAGAGAGAGGGTTACTTTTTATTTTGTAGCACTGCTGCATAAAGAAAAAGATTTCAGTATTAAATACATCATTTGGAGTTCAATGCAGTCGTTTTGAGTCATGAAATCTTAAACAGAAATGGCACCTTAGCTAAAAATGTGCAAGCATTTCTCTAGTTAGTTTAATCAGATTGTAGACAGAAGACAGACTAATGTTGCCTTAGAAATCAGATTTACCAAATCAAAATGTGTTGAAAAGAAAAAAAAATCATGTTATTTCAAAAGATACCAGCAGAATCTACCAAAAGGAGCTGTACTGTATGGATACTACCACAAAGAATTAACTGTGGGAGTGCTATTCTATCTTAATCTTTCAGCAGCCCTGCTTTATGGAGGCCCTGGATGCTCACAGCAAGAGATGGTGAGATGACAGAGAATCAACAAATGGTGAGACTAAATTCTGGAGAAAATAATCCTTATAGAAAACAGGTGCAGAAATTGAAACTATTTGAGCACAGGAAGTGAGACTTGGTCATCTATTCATTTGTTCTTTCAAGCGTTTCCTCAGTGTTAGAAAATATGGTTCAAATCACAGCGTTCTGTACATGATAATGGTTAAAAGTATCTCTAATTTTGTATCAGATATAGAATCACTATCAGTACTTAAAGAGCTGCAGAAAACATTCCTTACTCAAAATAATCCTTATTTTAACAGCAGTTTTTATTTTCTTAATTATAAAAATAAGAATAACCTCAGTTTGAAATTACCAGGTATAGTCTATATGTGATATTTTGTATATAGAGGGAGTTTGAGTGAAAATGACTTTTAGATTAAATTTAAAAAACATACTGTCAGGTGCACAGTTTTATTGATTTTTTTTGGGAGGAATGTTGCTATAGCTAAATTCGCTAGGAAATCAACAGAAAATTGGATTTTAGAGTAACTCTTACTGCCAAGCGCCTTTGAAAGGCACTGTGATTATTAGTTTTACTTACTCGTGTAGGAAGATTTGTTAGGATCAATGAATAAAAATAGAGATTGAAGCACATTCAACATAGGTTCTGACACTGCGAACTTTAAAAAATGTATTGAAATAGTGCTCCTCCCATGCTTAGTTTTAAGCAGCACCCAATCAACAATTACATCTTCAACTTTTTACCAAAGACTCAGCAGATTAAGACAACAACTCTCCTTAGTGCAAGTCTTTAAAGACTCACAATTTCTATTATATTCTAACATGTGCAACACCTCTTTACCTTGTACTTTTTGTCTGCTGAAGATGGAGGTTTTAACTATATAGATCTGAGGGAGTTCTGCACTCCTCCCAGCAGGTGACTTGAGAAAGCCTGCAGAAGAATGTCCTTACCAGCAGTGTTCCAAGCTTTGCCAGAGGCACCTCTAAATTTGCTAAGGATGAAAGGGGTCTTACTCTCATGAGAATACGTGCTTACAGTGATGATTTCAAGAAACTAAGGTTTCTGAAATCAGGAAGTTGTGATTTATTACCGAGTTTATGTTTTTGTAGAAAATTTTATTCAACCAGCTCAAAAGTTTTAATTCACACTTGGGCTTCTGCCCACTTGTGTGAGAAAAACGAACCATATATGAAGTTTTCACAGTTATTGCTAACAGCCTCGCATTATTTCAAGCCAATAATAGCTGAAACAGTTGGTTTCAATTTTTTAACATTTCTCCCTCCTGCCAGAAGCTTCTCAGATCCTTCTCACCCATACCTTATGGCACATCCACACTGCTTCAGTTTTTGAGGTGCCTCTTTAGCTTGGGACCTAACGAGGGCTGAAGGAGGGCTTTAGGAGCCCTTTCATATGGTTTTTAACAGGGTCACAACAACTGAGGAAAGATGCTTGGATTCTTTGTGTGATGCATAGGTGGGAAGAGGTGCTCACTAATGCATACCTACATCCTGCAGCTGTGGAAGGCAAGAGGTATCTTCCTCAGCAAAGTTACTGAGGTTGCTAGCAGACGCCCTTCAAAGATGAGTTGAGCACAATGTTCTGCTAGTTAGTTGTGCGCTGGCTGCTTTTATTTTCTGCAATGTATACATACAAATGCTGATGCTTACAGATCAGTAGACACTGCAGAGTGAAGGAAACTGCAAGATGCAGAGCAAAGCACTAAAAAATAAAAGTACTAGTAAAAAAACCTAATAATTTAACCTCTATTGCCAAGAACATGTGTTACACTATACCCTATAATTACCTATGCATAACAATTTCCTTATATAAAAATTAACACTTTTCCTCCTACCTAATTCAAATACGTCATTATTTATGCCCAAAGGAAAGCCATGAAAAGTAATTTAAAGTTACTATGATCTTTAAGGTCCCTTCTAACCCAAACCATTCTATGATTCTATTGCCATATCTACAACATAACACAAATTAACACTGAACATTTTCTGCTATAGACAAACTGAGTTAGATTTTGCATTTAATTGGCCTTTATTAGGGTTGCTTTTCAGAAATGCTGTATTATAGTCTGAAAAGAAAAAGCATATGATGTGTGTTTAATCAATGTGTATTATTACATATATAATTGCTAAAAAATAATATGCATTCTAAAGAGAAGACAGTAGAAAATACAGGTCAATAAAGACAAAAAAGGCCATTTTAATTTTGATCTAAATATGAAAGGAGAAAAATAACATGGTATTTAACACAGATACTATGATCACATCTACAATGTTCAGCCAGATCAGGAGTTCATTGAACTCAGTACTGTGGAAACAAAGTAAATGAGTCTCCTGATTAAATACAAAAAAAACCCTCAACAAATTCCTAACAGCCTGAAGACAACCCATTTTGGCTACAAGACAAACACATGGGTACAACATAAAAGGTACAGAGAGAATTCTATAGGACCCCTTGCTCAGTCCATAGCCCAAGGGCTTTTTGGGGCCCTCCAGAATATCGATGCTGAAGCCTGTTTCCTCAGAAAGACAGATGAATTTGCTCTGACAGTTGCAAAAGTAATCTTTGTCTGTTTGTAGCAGAGTGGATGGTTGCTAGCTTCTGTTCGCTAGAAGTTCTAGTATAGCAAAGCTGAATCTTCCCATTTTATGCAACATCAAGTTTATAGTGATAGAAGGAAAAAAAAAGTCGTCTTGTTTTAAGATATGGAAGAGAATCCATGCCTACAAGGTGAAGCAATAGAGCTGAGTGACTTTGCAAGATCTTTTCGGGTTTACATTTGCTTTTTATCGCTATCTGCATAGAAATATGAGATGCCAGTTGTGTCTTGATTTTACTATTTGGACTCTTAATGTGCTTGTGTGATCTTTGATTACAGTTAAACTTGCCAACTTGAACATTTCAACTCCTAACTACTGGTTAGTGTAGCTAAAGAGGTATTTTATGAAACCCTAACCTCCTAATCTTTTCTACTGATTGAAAATCCTTTTTTCTTCCAATCACTGACCTTCCATTTGGTGATGTTATTAGCTCACCACTTTCTGTAGATATGCCGTAAGAACTTAAGCAAAGTGTTCAACACTTCATGGCTTTAAGGCTCATAAACCATACAAGTTCAAATGCTTTGTTGAATGTGCAAATATGGGCAGCCTTTGAGCACATGTATTCTCTGAAGTATGCTTAGCCAGAGTAAAACAACTTGCAGCACAGCAAATAAAGCAACATTACTATATAATTTTACAGTTACCTGTAGAATAAAAAAGTGAAATCTTAATTTTTAGCTTATTCTAAACAATAAATACGTCTCTTTACAGTTAGAACTGGATGGTCAACTAATAAATTTTAGATCAAAAGGAGCCCTGGGGTTTCAACATCCAGTGAGGTGAGTTAAGTCCTGTCACTTGATACAAGAAAAGTGACACCTTTGGAGACAAGATTCCTTCTTGGGAGAAGTATCAGATTGTCTCAGGAGAAGTATCAGTTTGTCTCTGGAATATCTCTTTTTGGTAATGCAGTTTAACTACCCACCAGACTCCATAGACTTTTATCCCTCCACGAGGAAAGTTGCTTAGGCTGAACAGAACCTGAAACAGTATGTCAATACTGAAAATAAGAAAAAAGTAATCTTAAATGAAACAATGTTCTTCTGCCTTATCTAATTTATATTTACATTTATGAATATGATAACAACCTCACGAAGCCCAAATAATTAATGTGAACAGCTGCTAATGGAATGTGACTAGTTACAGATCTGTCATGAGGTTGCTTAAATTTGCTCTTGAATAGAAGTTGAACTCCAAGTAAAGCTTTTCCTAAGCTAGAAGGATTTATAAGGGTTTTCACCAACATTTGGATTTCTTAAAGCTTAATGATGCAGAAACTCGTGATTTGGACTTTTGTTTAGAGGAGGAAAATTAAGGGAATATCCTTCTTCTTTACAAGCACTTGTTTCTATAAAAGCTGTAGAAGCTGAAATTCTGTGTAACCTTTATCACTGTCAAATTTAATTGAAAACTGGCCAAAGTGGAACCAAGAGGAAGAGGTGTACATATTATGCACACAAAACCACATACAGCTGTATACAGACCACATAAGTTTTGCTTTAGTGGGAAAGCTGGTGAAAACCTGAAATGTAAATTAAGACATTTATAATTTCAATAAAAAACATTATGAATTTTGAAATAAATCTCTCTTAGTGTACATCTCCTCTACCTGGAAACACAAAAATCCCACTAAGATCAACTTCTATGCAACAGGCAACCCACCCCAATCTTAACCTGGTGTCTTAATCTTAATTTCAGAGTCCCAGGACATTCCTCAAACTTCCCCCAGTTGCACCGGATGCTTCCACTCTGAACTGTGCTAAAAAACAAACCAAAACAAAACATCTCAAGCACACATCATTGCCCTGGCAACACTTTATCAATCAGAGTGGGAATTTAGATAAATCCAATATACAATATGCCCAAAACAGCTGAGGTAACTTAAAATCAACTGTACCTTTTAATTAGCAACTTTTATTTTAAAAGACAAGGAACCCCAGGATTTTTCGCTCTTCAAAGAAAGATAAAAATAGGTTTTAATACTCAAGCTAGCTTAGCTGGGAAAGTGGACCATAGTTTTACTTTTTCTCTTAAAATATGTTTTCTTATTAGACTTTATTTGCCCAAGTCGAAATCCCAAAAGTTTCTTAATAACATCGGAGAGAAGGTTCTGGCAAGTTTTCCAGTACAAGCTACAATTCACTTCTACAATGATGACACTGACTCTGAGGAAGACGAAGAAGAAAGCAGTTCAGCCTAATAATGAACAGTGGTCAGCCTTGACAAACACAAAATAAAAATTAAAAAAAAACCCCAAGAGATCAAAAAGGAGCTGTCACAAATGTATGGACAAACGTCTGAATGAACAAAGAAAATGCACCAAAGTTCATAAGAAAACTATTTATAACTATTTTACCAGAAGAATGAGTCAATGCAACTGGAAACTAAGAGGAAATCCTTTTGTGTTTTGAGAGACTGTTACATAAAACCATGAAGTCGAACAAAAGATTAGAATGTTTTAAACTATGATGGTTTAAGTACCACGTATTAAGAACATTAAGAGCACTGTACTCATTATTTTTTTACATTACAGTCCTGATAAAATGAGAATAGGATTGATTATGGGGCAAAATAGTGTAATGCACAGTCCCTGAATAACCCAAAGGCTTTGACACACAACATTTTTAAGAATTTAAGTAAAGAATGTTACAAAATGCAAAGACTATTGCCTATTAGCTCCATGGGGCATGTTTATTCTGATATAAATGCTGTATGCTGAATTGACCTAATCCATTTCAAGGGAGATTCCAGTATAACCCCCTGTCAAGACAAGTTCTAAATTACAATCATGATATTTTCTGGAGTCCTGTCGTTCTGTTATTACCAGCTTTCTCCCCTCTGATCAGAAAAGTGCTTTTTTGTCAGTCAGAAAAACAGTCGGCCTTGATTAAAAACACTGATTTAATTTAATGGCACATTAAAACATGCATTATGTGCTACTTTTGTTTTTGTCTTCACCACAATATTCAAATCTTATTTCTATAGCTGTGTGCTTGAATATATGATTTTAATACAACTGACCTACTGTTGATTCCTGTGTAGTGGGGTTTGGATGTATCTCTTACTACCTTGGCATTTGTTTTAAATTGATGTTCATGAAGACTAAAATTTGCTAATTTTCATAAGCATCTTTATGTTATATACAATGTAGACTCATTTGTTCCAACACTGTTATTTCACTGGAAAAAAATGCTTTTTCAGTAAAGTTTATTTAATTCAGAGAATTGGTATCATCTGTTGTATTTAACCTTTTGTTTGCATAAGTTTTGTATGCTCAGAGGGTTGCCAGTACTTGTCTTGCTATGCCAGCATTTTTTAGTTAGCTCAAGAGTTAGCTATTTGGCCCCACTATATTTCAGAATTATGCTTCAGGTACCTTATCTCTAACCAAAACTGCCATAGTTTCCCCAGAGACAAGACAAAGGCAGAATTCAAGATTCTTGGCCTCTTTTATGCTACTGTTGATGGTGTAGATAAGGTCATACAGTTTTAAGAGCCACTTAAAGTGTGTGTCAGATCTTCTTCTTAGTAGAATGTACTATCAAACAAAGCGAGTGTTATAAATTCTAACTCTAGCAAATTAGGATTCCAAATGAATGAACATATTAGAATAGAGGAATTTTTTAAAATCTCCATTTACAAATTAAAAAGTAAATCTATTAATTAAATTTACACAAGAAGACAGCATCCTATAACATATGGAATTACAAGAACTAGTTGAAATTGTAAATCCTGGTGTGACACATGAAAATTCAGCTTTTATATTTCACTCGTTCATCATCTCCACATCTTCACTTCCTAACATATGGCACTAAAATACTGACATTTTAAAGGTCTTTCACTTTTCTCATAACATATCCTAAAATTATTTATGCTGGAGCTTCCCCATTATTCAGTCTGTAGCTGCCGTGTTTTGGTGCAGCCGGCAGCTCAGCCACCACGGATGCCGCTCACTCACTCCTCTCCCTCCGGGTGGAGTGGAGAGGATAAAACTGTAACAAAAGGCCTGAGGGTCGAGGCAAAAACAGGGAGGGATCACCCACCAACCATGGCCCCAGGCAAAACGGACTGTTTGGGGACAAATCTATTTAATTCGTTAATGGTTCATTCAGAGAGGATAAAAAGAAGCAAAGACAGATCTTAAAAATGCCTTCCCCCCACCTGTCCCTTCTTCTTGACTCTACCTCCTCCCACAGAGGCACAGGGCAACAAAGAATAGGGGGGTTGCAGGTCAGTTCATCACACGTTGTTTCTGCTGCTCCTTTCTTGAAGGAGGAGGAATCCTTACACTCTTCTCCCCTGCTCCAATGGATCCCCTCCTCACAGGAGAGTCCACAGACTTATCCAACGTGAGTCCTTCCTGCAGGATGCAATCCTTACCCATCAGATTACTCCAGTGCAGGCCTCTTTCCCACAGAGTCGCAGTTTAGGGAGCTGCCACCTGCTCCAGCATGGGGTTCTCCACAGGCTTCAGATGCCTCTCCGCCTCGCCGTCAGTCTCCAGTCACTGACAAAGACCATTCTCTATGACCTCCTTCAGGCACAGGCATCTCTGTTCCAGCATGGGGTTCTCCAGGGGCTGCAGGTGCATCTCTGCTCCACCGTTCATCTCCATGGGTGGCAGGGGGGCCACTGCTGTCTCACCACAGGCTGCAGGGGCATCAGCCCTGGCACACCTCCTCCCACTCCCTCTTCACTGCCTTGGTGTCTGAATGGCCGTTTCTCTCAGATCTCAGTCCTTTCTCCACTGCAGCTGTGCCGGGCTCAACAAACCTCAGTAGCAGTGGCCGAGTGTGGGCAGTCCCCCGTGAGGGAGGCCAGGGGGCCAGCCTCTGCCTCCCCACTCTTTTCACTGGAGGTCCAGCTTCATTCAGGCTCATTTGTCTCTACCTTAAATAGAGCATTTGCAGAGGTGCCGATTGACTCAGCCCTGGCCTGAGGGAATGGGGAGGGTCTCACCTGGCCAGAGGCCAGACCAACCAGTTCTGGAGCCAGGGAAGCAGCTACTTACAGGGGCCATTTCTGCAGCCCCTCCCATAAACCCAGCACAGTAGCACAAACAGAAAAGCACCCAAGATCACTTAACAGCTCAGCAATAATACATTCCCTACAATGGTCAAATTATTGTACATTAAGCCTCAACTTCTTCCTTGCAAGAAGCTCTAGTCTCCATCAATGCTCAGGCTGAGTTCCCTCCCAACATTTGGAGTTCTGCCCTCACTTTGAGTCCTGGGCAGGGCTTTTCCTCACCTGTTAAGACACCTCAGTGTGCATCTGTGTGCTATTTTAATCTGTGCTATGACACAAACCAACTTGGTTGCTGCTGAATTACTCAGACCTTCATTGAGGATTACCGGAATCAGAGAGATGTGCTGAGAGACCCATCTCCATCTCCTACAAAAACGTTGGTTACCACACAATCCCCATACAGCATGGTGCTCCCTAACATGCGCACTACTCTGAAGAGCCATCTGCCTTACACAGATATTGTCACCATTTAAGGATCTATTATGCAAAAACACTCTGTAGGTTTTTCCTTGCTAATCCTTCCCTTTCTATTGAGAACATGCTGCCTGTTCTTCCTTTACAGCTTCTCTGCCTGTCCTGCAGATGCCCAGCAGTAGGCTGTGGTTACTCTTCAGAAAAGCCTCAGATGAGACCAATGCACGCTTGCAGACACAGATGCCCAGCAAGAGCTGGTGTTATTATTGTTGTGGGATAGCCATGAGGGACTAATATCCACAGGACCATGTGACATAAACAAAGGCCAGCTTCAGTTGCAGCCGAGACTGAGCTTCTTGCATTAAGGAGAGGTTTTGAGCTGGAGGGATTAGCACCAACAGGCAGGACTAGGTGTCGATGCTGAGGATCGGTTATTAACTCCAGACAGAAATCTTTGAAAGCTCTATCTGAAAATGTGATAACTGCAACTTGGATGATCAGCAGAAAGACAGAGCTTTTGAAGATCTGTGTCTGGAGTTAATATCAAATCTTTAGCATCAACATGTCATCTTCCAGGTGCTCACTCCACTTGTGTGGAGCTTTGTTGTTCTGTCCTGTACTCTCACCAGCTGGTGGTCAACCAGTCTGGAGTGGCAAGTGGCTCACTGAGACCTGTGAAAAAGCCTCCTGGATAAGTGCCAGCAGCATGCCAGAACTCTGCCAGGTTTTAAGTTGATTTTTGGTTGGCGAAATCTACTGTTTATTTTGAGAAATGGAAAGCATCTGTTTCAGTATACTAACTATTTTTCAGAAGTCTTGGTAAAGAAACTTTGGTCAGTAGAAGCAGCTTCAGATGGGCTTACTAATAGAACAACACAAGAGAACAGATACAGTATAGACAGTGGCCATACATACTAACAGAACTACCACATCAATACCAGATGGGGCATCTTATTCCAAGTTTCCTGTAACATGCCCAGGCAGAATCTGACCATTTGGAACTTGTCCAGAATTTCCAGACCTACAGCAAACCACATAGGACAGTAGCTCCATTAAAAATATTCCTAGGCAGAAAAGAGGAGTAGTTTTAGACAAATGCTGGAGGTTTGGAAATCCCAGACAACTGGCCACTGAATAAAGGCAGATGGATTACTCAGAATGTGAGCTGTATCCTAGAAAATTATATTCATACTTGACATGAACGTCATGAAGAGAGAGGAAGGGGAAGAATGATCAAGTATACAGATTATATGAACAACAAAATAGATCAGAACTTTTCAGCCTGGAAGACAAGATTGATTTTATAAAAGTAGTCTTTTACATCTTGAGTGGCTGTTGCAGATGGAATGTTTTAACATGGTTATGATTTAGCAGCAATTCAAGATTTAATAATGGTACGAGGTAAATCAAAGGTTAAATTTTTAGCAACACTTGATGATTAACCAATTTAAAGATTAACAAGGCGATTCAGTAGGATATGTTTTAATTAAAACAGTGACTCAATTACAGATTCAAAATGACAAGATTCACACTAACTTACTACAAGGTGTCCTAAATCAAAATATATATATGTACCTATGTATAAAACATAAGCATGCAAACAGAAATATTTGGATCCAGTGAAATATAGACATCCACACTCATGAAGACAAATGTGTATATTCAAACACATAGATAGATATAGATGGAAGAGGCAAGCCTATGGGTGAAATTTCCCTCTCGAGCTTAGAGTAAATACTCACAATGCATCAGCATTCC